CTAGCCCTCTGCTCTTCCCCAGTAGCATATTGGACACCTTCCGACCTGAGGGGCTCATCTTCCAGCGTCATATCTTTTTGCCTTTTAGTACTGTCCATGGGGTTTTCATGGCAAAGATAACTGGAGTGGGTTGCCATTTCCTTCTCCAGTGGATCACATTTTGTATATATAAAACTATGTATATAGCAGGGGTCTTCAAACTTGGCCCTTTATGACTGGGAGTTGAAGTCCACAAGTCATAAAAGGGCCAAGTTTGAAGACCCCTGCTATATAGTATTCCTTAATAAACCAATTATATATTTAAAACAACTGTTCAATCCCTTCTTTTATAAAGGTGAATAATGCAGCATGATTTAAATCTCAATACTAAGGTAAATGCAAACTAGATTTATATATATATATATGATTTTTGTTTTGTATTCTGGGAGATTTGGTGAAAATGTTTTTCTTTAGATTGATTAGGCCTATCTTGTGAATTATATGTTTTGGTAAGGGGGTAAAAACTACAAATTGGTAGGATTTTTTCATCATATTTGGAGAGCAATTTCAGAGGGTTTTGGAGGCTGGAGAAAATGATTTGAGTGCTGCCTATGTTTGCTGATATAAATGAATGGTTATAGTATTATATAGGGCTATGCATCTGTGTATATGCGTGCAGTTTGTGTGTATCCACTCAGAAACACATATGGGCAGGATAACTTTAATCAAGGATTACCAAGTGATTCCAAAAAACTAGATCAAATAGTCATAACCACCAGAAGCAATAGACCTTTTTTAGAATGGTAAAAGCTGGTTATTTATTTCAGCCCCATAAGCCAGTCTCCCAAACGCACCGATGGCTTCTTAAGTCATAACATCTTTTCAAACACTTAACTCATTCAGCAGTTATGCTGGAGCCATTGTAAGATTAAAGAGTAAGAAGTGTTAAGTGAGGAAGAAGAATATATTTTGTTATATCTGTCACTGGTGGTGGAAAATATGACAGTGCATGCTTGTTATCAAAGGAAATGGCTTCGTTTTCTGAAGGCAAGCAGTGTGGTGCAAAGCCAAGTCAGATAAGCATGATCTACATTTATGGATGACTGGAGATCTCTTATGGACTTTTTGCATAAAAATGAAAAAAAAATGAACTTGTGGTTTATGGTTTAGATTATAGAAAGAAGAGTAATAAGATGTCCAGTAACTTCAGAGAGACAGGTTAAAATATATTTGTAATTATAACTGCTGTGAAGATTATTGAAAGTCAGTTTTTTTAATATCTTTTGTATTTTTCTTCAACTTTTTTCTTTTCTTGCACTTTTTGCTTCTTTTGTTTTTTTTTTCTATTTTCCTTATTTTGTATTAGAATAATTCTTATTCTGCTTCATCCATACATTCACAAACTCTTTCATGATATAAGCAAACACCTTTTATTTAGGATCTCCTAAGTATTCTAGTGTTTCCTCAAATCTAGTTATCTGGAAGCTGCATATTATGATTTCTATGCATCGTTATATGTAAGACATATAACTGACCTGGAAGCATTCTAACCATATTGAAAGATGAATTAAAGCTGTTAAAGGAAACTGTAAAGGTGTTTTAGGGTGCTAAAAAGACACATAGATACATAGCTATGTCCTGTAGAAACTCATTTAGACAGAATTGAAACTATATCAAAAGCCTTCGGAAGACAAAACCAGCTGTATCTCCAAGATTTAATTTTTTTTTTTAAAAAAAAAAATCTGGTCTTGAACAATAATAAAATGTTCGTTCATTCGTTGTGTGGAAACGGAACATCTTTTTCTTTCTCCTTGCTTTTTTCTCCTTTCATTTATTTATTTTATTTTAAAAATATTTTTACTATTAAGGTAATGAAATATAAAGAAAAAAGAATGTAGTTTTAAAGGATTTCAGCTCTGATTCACACATTAAGCCATATGCGATGCATATTCTTTGCTAGATAAAAACAATGAGATTTTTCTGCCGGCAAATCTTTTAACATATTTACTGTACTCAAGTGAACCTAAATAAGCCTTATTCTGTTGAATGGGCCTTAATGCATTTAGAATTTTGCCCTTGAAATATTTCAGTATAGGTGCACATAACCAGTATGGAAATTATACATTTTGTTTGAATAGAGGCTTTTCAAGTTTGCACTTTGTGTGGTTTTACTCCCTCCCCTACCCACCCCATCTACTCTTACCCTGAGTCTCATTTTTTGCTCACCATCACCCTCAAATCCTAGATCCGGCCCAGAAGAAGCATGCAGTCAAACAATATAGTTGATCTCTACAAGAGATTCCCCTTGAGTAATATTCAGAAGCTTCAGATAGAGCAGTGGTTCTCAACCTGTGGGTCGGGACCCCATTTGGGGTTGAACGACCATTTCACGGGGGTCGCCAAACAATGCAGTCCGCCATTTTTTTCCCCTTTTCCTTAGCTGTGCTACTCCCTTTTATTCTATTGGCTTTTGAAAGCCAATAGAATAGACTCTCTTGAATAGAGTCTAATTCTATTGGCTTTCAAAAGCCAATAGGAATTGTCCAGGCTGTCTCTGCCCTGCTGAGCCCGCCAAAAGTCCCATTCTGCAAATGATGCTGCAAGTTGTCTGCAGCGAAGGCGAGCTGTCTGGAAGTTTCCACCCCTTCCTGCTGAGCAACTACTAAAAATGTAAGAAAAAGAGGGCCAGCGGTGGGAGGTGGGAGGCCGGCGGGTGCAGGGAGGGTTGCTGGCACGTGTGGGGCCCGGCGGGTGCCTTACCTCCCTTGGGCTGGGCCAGCTGGTGGCCCAGCTGGTGGTCGGCCTGCGCCATCTCTGCCACTTGCCAGCTACACCTCAGCCGGTGCAGGGAAAGTCCTCGACTTATGACTGGTTGGGTAGTCCTCGACTTATGACCAGTTGGGTAGTCCGCGACTTACGACCGGTTGGGGGTCACGGCATTAAAAAGGTTGAGAACCACTGAGATAGAGCAAAATGTGGCAGCACAGGCAGTGATGGGTGCTAATTGCTTGGCACAAGTGACATCTCTATTCTGTAATCTGGATCATCTACCAGTATGCTTCCAGATGCAAACAAGGTGCTGATGGTTTACGTTCATGGCTTGTGACCACGTAACCTACAAGATTGCCTCTCCCTGATGATCTCTACCCATCTTGTTAGATCCAACAGCCAAAACATACTGCAGATCCCATCCACAAGAGAATGTCATCTAGCAGACCCAAGGGGAGGGCCTTTTCTGCCAAGGCACCCAGTCTTTGGCACATCAACCCCCATGAGATCAGCCTTGTCCCAGCCATGCTAAACTTCTGCAAAACATTGAAAACTTGGCTTTGCAATCAGACATGAGGCCCTGGTCCTGTTTCTTGGTCTTGCTTGGGTTAACTGAGTATTCTCAAATGCTGCATTATGTAATGCTATTTCTGTTGTTTTAAAATTTGGTTGTTCACTATGTTTTTATTCTATTTTTAATTGTTAGTCCCTCAGAGTCATTCTGGATGGACAGGCATATAAATTTATTTTAGGAAGATTTGAAGATCATATAGAAAAGATAAAAAATCCCATACAATATACTTGACTGCTGATGAGTGACAGAAAAATGGGCATGTTTCCTATCTTGCATTAGCAAACTTTGGCAATAGAATTAATATCAATTCATTAATTTGCCAACTGCTATATATGAACACCATGATCTGTGTGTATATAGCTGCAAATTACTGTGGAATGGCTATATGCTTGGACACTACTGTATTTGTATCAAAAGTTCTTAGGTGCTCTCTAAAAAATGTAAAAGATTTGCTTTCAGTTTCCATAATGAAATAAAATAGATTGCCTTTAAAGACAGCTCAGCATGGCGTAGTCTCTTGTTAAATAATGAGATCGGAGAATAACAGGAGCAGCTTGATCTCTTCCTTCCTTAAGGCATTCAGAAATGTCTAAAAATGGCCTTTGCTTAGTTAATAAAAACCACACCACAAATGAACAAAAAAGGCTTTGTAACATAAGAGATGGGAAGAGAAGGGAAACCACACCCTCTATTGGTAGGTCTCATAATAGTTTTGGTATTTCAAGGATTAATTATTTAAGTCAAACTCATCTGTTTATGATTTCACAGACATGTTCATGTTGTTTACTCAGCAAAAATAACAAACTGGGATGTCACTGTTATTTTTAAGGATTTTTTCTTTAAATTCCCAGTGTAATTTTCAACTCTACTATTCCTTGGAGTTCTCCCATTCAAGAAATCACCAAGCCATAGCCTTCTAGCTTCTCATTCCTCACAAGGTCATCCAAACATTGCCTCATTCAAGTAACTGACATGCAGCAATTTGTTTATTTATAATCAAATTTATACCCTACACATCTTACTGTCCAAGTGATTATGGACAGTTTACGGATACTTTATCAATGTTGCACCAAAATATTGTATGTTATTGAAGTTTCAATTGGCAATGTTTCCATAGATGTATTAGAAAATATCCAATATTTTTATTTAATGTTACAACATTTTGGGAAGTAAACAAAGCTATCCTATCACCACTACATAAATAAACTGCATTTACAACCCAATCCTATGCTTCCAATTAAATCTAATAGTTTTGTGGAGAGATTAAATAGAATATAGATGCATTACATTTTCTTTAGTGTCTCTGTTGTAACCAAACATTATGTTCTATTTTAGGATATGGCTTTTTGAAATCACTAAGATGAATTAGCAGCAAGTACCCTTTGGATTATCAATATATGTTTCAAACTTTATCTCATTTATGCTAAGAATATAACAAATAAAGTCTGATAAATGCACTGATTATATTTATGTTATATAAATATGAAAAATTAAGTAGGTACAAATCTGTTATATTTTGAATGGGGGGGCAACACAAATAATCCCATTTAAGCCATTGTGAGATATCTAATTGGAAAGCAGACACATTTATTAAACATAAATAAAAATCATAAAATGAGAACTCTATTCATGTTTCATTTTGCTTCCACCTCTCTAACCTAACATGATTTTTTTTCAGATTTGCATCTTCCAATTATTTCTTCTGCGTGCCCAGAATCAAAAATTACACCTCTTCATACACTCAAATCATACGATAAGAATGAAAGGATGACTTTGATTGAAACATTACATCAGCCAGTCAAGGCTGTTCACCAGTAAGATATGTTTATTTTCTTAACAAAACCTTCATGGCAGAATGATATTTACATTTTGTTCATTATGTTTGAATGTCTTGTGATATAAAAGTGGAGAAGCAATAGTCAACTTTTTATGTGTTAACCAAATACGTTCCTTTCATTTACCTCCATTTCACTGCTAGGTTCCAAAATTGTAGATTTGAGTGAATTGAGATTAAAACGACTAAATATTTGTAGGGAACAAATTGTGCAGTGAGGAATTAGGATAAACAAATAAACAAACCCTTTATTATACCTAATTATGCAACACTTTTAACAATTCTATTATTTATCAAAAAAAGAGTAGGAACCCTAGTTTTGTTGATATAATTGTCTAATTCTTGTCTTTGAATATGACTGTAAAAGAGCCATAGATTAAGAAAATAAACAAAAAATAGATGTATACATATCTCTATCACAATTGTATTCAAATTCAATAAGATTCAGTAGGCAAGCAAACTCTGCATATGTCTGGATACATATATAGAATATAAATGGCATGGAACAATTAATTTATTAGAATATTGGCAGAAAAGAACATTTTGTGCTAATTTACAGTATTTTCTAAAAGTTTGTAGAATTTATTTAAAATAAATATCAAATACCAATACTTCAGGTCTATGTTTATAGTGAATTATCATGAAATGAGATCACAAGAATGTGAGAAAGTAAGTCTGGTTGATGAGCCGGGTGGCATAGTGGTTAGAATACAGTGTTGCAGGCAAACTCTGCCAACTGCCAGGAGTTTGATTCTGACTGGCTCAAGGTTGATTCAGCCTTCCATCCTTCTGTGGTTGGTAAAATGAGGACCCAGGTTGTTGGGGGCAATATGCTGAGTCTGTAAAACATTTTGGAGCAGTATATACAGTAAGTCTAAGTGCTATTGCTATTGGTAAAGGAAGGCGAGTTTTGATATTTTAATGAGGCAGCAAGTTGTTATTTTTAATTGTTAAGTGGTATAACAGCTGGATGGGGAACAGAATGCCATTTTAGCTGTCCTTAAGGCAACAAAGCCTCTTGGCCCAGCACTAGTGACATCTTTGACTATATATCCACATAACCAACTAACTTTGAAAAGTAATTAATGAAGACATTTCATGAAAAAGGTTTCTTGTTTTCCTGCCTCTGACAATCAGTATAACCACACAAATATGGGAACTCTTTTGGAATTTTGTATAACATGACATCAAAATGTGTTTCAAACAAGCAAGAAAGAAAAATCCAGAATAATTCACCAAGTCCTACTTTACTTATTTATCATGTTTATACATGTTAGTACAATGCCCAAAGATTCTTGCTGGTTCATAAAGATAAAAAAATACACAATAAAATATACAAAATTATTCATATTTTGAGTAAACATAAAATGGAAAACTACATAAATAGAAGTCAGAAACAAGCTAGAGTCCCAAGTCAGTGAACAAAGCAGTCTGTCTCTTAGCTTGTCATGTAGTGATTGTGAACAAAGCAGTCTGTCTCTTAGCTTGTCATGTAGTGACTGTTGTTTCCATTTATATATGGAACCCATTTAAACCACCTTATTAGAAATGATCTCTCAGCCCTGAAGATGTTGGGGAGTTTTCCCAACGAAAGCTTGGCAACCTTTTAATATAGTAAAATACTTCAATTAAAGTATTTTTACTTTAAACTCTCCTGGTGAACGCGCTTTATTCAAATTGGAAGTGTCTTGATGACGTTTTGACGAAGTCTCATTCGGCATCGTCATATATATAGTTAGGATTGCACAGAAGAAACAACTTTCTAATATTATATTGTAATTTTCCAGACATCCAATTCCCATTAAAACAGAAAATAAGGAAGCCTTTAAAATTCAAGATTTTTCGATCATCATCAAAGTGTATGTGTTGGTGTCATCATTAACACCTTTACAGGCATTCATTCATTCAACTGGAATTGTCTGGGATCTACCTAAGAAGAAGCATTTTTCAGTCAAGGTAAAATTATGTTTTTTTCTTCAGCTCAAAATGGATAGAACACATTCAGCTCTTTTTGTTTGTTTGTTTGTTTTGCTTTTATTTCCAATTAAGATGTTTTCATTCGGGATAAGGGTGATCTCTATAAGGCTGAATTTACAGTGGGTAACTGTATGATCTCAGGAAAAGATGCAGTTGCAGTTCTATGGATGAGAATCCTCCAGGGGAAAACAACTCAAGAGGCTTGGGAAATTTTGAAAAGTGAGATAATAAAGGCCCAGCACAATACCAACAAAAAGGAAAAATAACAGCTCTCAAAAGAAACCAGCATGGCTGCATAAAGAACTCTCTGATCAATTGAAAGATAAAAAGGACAAGTATAGAAAGTGGAAAGAGAGACACATAGCTAAGTCAGAATATCAGCAAATAGCCCGAGCCTGCAAAGACCAAGTGAGGAAAGCTAAGGCTCAAAATGAACTAAGGCTTGCAACCAAAGTCAAAAATAACAAAAAAAGCTTCTTTCAACATGTAAAAAAACAAAAAAAGTGAAGGAAATGATTGGTCCATTAGTAGGTGAACGTGGCAAGAAGGTGACAAGCAACAGGGAGAAAGCAGAACTATTTAACTCGTTTTTCGTATCTGTCTTTACACAAAGGGAAAAAAACAGACCAACCTATCAAAAATAGTTCCATAAAAAACAAAATAGAAATACAAGTTAAGATAGGGAAGAAAATGGTAAGTAAATACCTGTCCAGCCTGGATGAGTTCAAATCACCAAGACCAGATGGATTACAACCCAAGGATCTTAAGGAACTGGCAGGTGTGATCTCAGAACCACTGAACTATATTTTTCAAAGATCCTGGAGCACTGGGGAACTACCAGAGGACTGGAAAAGAACTGATGTAGTTCCCATCTTCAAAAAAGGAAAAAAAAAGGACCCAGGAAATTACAGACCTATCAGCCTGACCTCAATACCTGGGAAGATTCTGGAAAAGATAATCAAACAACGAATCAGCAAACACCTATAGGCAAACAAAGTCATTACTAAAAGCCAACATAGATTTGTTAAAAACAGATCATGCCAGACAAATTTTATTGCATTCTTTGACCAAGTGATAAAATTAGTGGACCAGAGGAATGCTGTGGATATAATTTACTTGGACTTCAGTAAGGCATTTGACAAAGTAGACCACAACCTACTACTTAATAAGATAGAAAAATGCGGGTTAGACAGCATCACCGTCAGATGGAGCCGTAGCTGGCTGACCGGCCGTACTCAGCATGTGGTCCTCAATGGAACCGCATCTACATGGAGGGAAGTGTGTAGTGGGGTGCCCCAGGGCTCTGTTCTGGGCCCAGTGTTCTTCAACATCTTCATCGATGATCTGGACGAGGGGATAGATGGGGAACTCATCAAATTTGCAGACGACACCAAGCTGGCAGGAATAGCCAACACTCCAGAAGACAGGCTTAGGATACAGGAGGATCTGGACAGACTTGAACACTGGGCGCTATCTAACAAAATGAAATTCAATGGTGAAAAAAGTAAGGTTATACATTTAGGCAAGAAAAACCAAATGTACAGGTATAGTATAGGGGGTACCTTGCTCAATAATAGTAACTGTGAGAGGGACCTTGGAGTCCTAGTGGACAATCATTTAAATATGAGCCAGCAGTGTGCTGCAGCTGCCAAAAAAGCCAACACAGTGCTAGGCTGCATTAACAGAGAGATAGAATCAAGATCACGTGAAGTATTAATACCACTCTTCAATGCCTTGGTAAGGCCACACTTGGAATACTGCATCCAGTTTTGGTCACCACGATGTTAAAAAGATGTTGAGACTCTAGAAAGAGTACAGAGAAGAGCAACAAAGATGATTAGGGGACTGGAGGCTAAAACATATAAGGAACGGTTGCTGGAATTGGGTATCTCTAGTTTAACAAAGAGAAGGACGAGGGGGGACATGATAGCAGTGTTCCAATATCTCAGGGGCTGCCACAAAGAAGAGGGAGTCAAGCTATTTTCCAAGGCGCCTGAAGGCAGGACAAGAAGCAACGGGTGGAAACTAAGCAAGGAGAGAAGCAACCTAGAACTAAGGAGAAACTGCCTGACAGTTAGAACAATTAACCAGTGGAACAACCTGCCTCCAGAAGCGGTGAATGCTCCAACACTGGAAGTTTTTAAGAAGAAACTGGACAGCCATTTGTCAGAAATGGTATAGGGTTTCCTGCCTCAGCAGGGGGTTGGACTAGATGACCTCCAAGGTCCCTTCCAACTTTATCATCATCATCATCATCATTATTAAGCAGTGTTTCTCAAACTTGGCAATTTTAAGATGTGTGGACTTCAACTTCCAGAATTCCCCAGCCAGCTATGCTTGCTGAGGAACTCTGAGAGTCAAAGTTCACACATTTTAAAGTTGCCAAGTTTGACAAACACTGCTCTTAAGAGTTATACCCAGGTACTACTGAATGAATGCCCCTGTGCATTCCAAAGCATGTTCGCATCTTTGAGGCTAGTATGCTGCTCAATCCAAATATTAGGCGCTTTGCAAACAAGCATTAATTGCTCCTGAAAGGTATCTTGAAAGCTTGGTACTTCATTCTCTGGAAGGAGGAAACTGCAATGGATGGAAAGAGTTACAGGGCTATAAGATAGCACAGGAAGGAAATTGCAAGGGTTGAAGAGAAAATTACAAACACCAGCTGGGAAGGAAAAGATCAGATGGGTTACTGTTGAACTGGGGGATAAAGCTTCAAAAGCAACTTAAAGTTTGTCAGTGATTTGCAAGCTATAGCATTTTAAGAGCAGATTAAGAAAACTGATTTAAGGGAAAGAAACACTCTTTCCCTGATTTTATTGAATGAGAGTAGCTATCTTCAAAATGAAACATGGACTTCAGGGATTATGCAAAAGAAAGCAAGCTGATTTTTCCTATTAAAATAAAGTTTAAAATATTATTGTTTTAGTAGTGTTTATTTCAATGAAATATGTAACAGTTGTATGGTTCTATCACTACTTCAAAGCCTGCAACAGTAATTAACAAACTTTAGATACTCACAAAGCTTCCTAGGTGAGAAAAGGAATTAGATTATAGAATCATGGGATTCTAATATATTTATACTTTACCTCTTATTTTATCAGTAAGTCTGCAGGTCTTCCTAACACTTTTTTCTACCTTTTGATTAATTTAAAAAGGGCTTGGATAGTCATTTATGAGGTACAAAATATCCACTGTTCTTATTCTGTAATGTTTTGAAAATGTTCATTTATATTGTCAAGGTACTTGATATATAGATTAAAAGGCAAATATTAAGTTGGTGGCATACTTATTTATTGCACAGCTCTAACCTCAGTAAAACTTTGTCAGTATCATAGATTTCAGGGACAAAAGCACAAAATAGCACTAGAACAAAATGTATAAATGAGGATATCTATGGAGATTCTCAATCATCCAGGTCATGGTTGTCCTAAATAGGCTTTTCAAAAGGCAACTGGAGTTGCTTGGTTTTTTTTTTCTTTAAAAACATTTTGCTTCTCATCCAAAAAGCTTCAGAACTGAAGAAGCTCCTTGGGTGAGAAGCAAAACACGTTCAAGGAAAAAACCAAGAAAGTCCAGTTGCCTTTTGAAAAACACCTTTGCAATATAAATGAGGATCTTGGCCACAATGTCCATGGAACCATCACCATAATCCCCTAATCAGATACTGATAGTGTGGGGGAACCTATTTTTATTCCTGGTTGTGTTAAGAGAGTGCTCAGCGGTTATGTTATTCATGAATGTGAGTTGGACAGTCACATAACTTTATTTTAGGAGGCTTTGGAGATCATAATGGAGAAGATAAAAAATCCCATATGAAATACTTGACTACTGATGAGTGACAGAAAAATGGGCATGTCTCTTATCTTGCATTAGCAAACTTTATCATCTCTTGGACAGATGCACAGCTTTGGCAGTAGAATTAATATTAATTCATTACTTTGCCAACTATTGTATATGCACAGCATGATCTGTCTGAATATGGTTGGCAAATTATTGTGGAATGGCTGTATACTTGGACATTATTTTTTATCAAAAATTCTTAGTAAAAATAATAAAAAGTTTGCTTTTAGTTTCCATAATGAAATAAGTTGTCTTTAAAGACAACTCAGCATCTCATATTAGATAATGAGATCTGGGAATAAAAGAAGCAGCTTGATCTCTTCCTTTTTAAGACATTCAGAAATGTCTAAAATTGGCCTTTGTTTAATTAATTAAAATTTAGTTAATAATTAAAACAAACATATGCAAATCACATAGGCCTCCTAGACATCTCTCTCTGCCACAACATATACCGTGCAAAATGATTCTGTGCTGAGTCAAATGCATTAGTCCAATGGACACATCATTCCTTGTATTGCAGGTCCCCAGAATTCTTGAACAAGGGCTAAAATTGCCATAAGTTCACCCTAAGCCAGGAAATAATCAGATGCTTATCAGCCTGGCTTGACATTAAGGAGTGCAATTTATTTCCTGGCTAGGACAATCATTTCATAAACATGACCATTAAATAATTACATCTGCTGGGACTTTACTTTCAGTCAAGAGAATTGTAAACAGTAGAAGGCTATAATACAACATTAAATGTAAGGTATAAAAAATTGATACGTATCCTGCTAGTATTTGGATTAGTATTTGGAGTCAAGCTATTCTCTAAAGCACCTGAGGGCAGGACAAGAAGCAATGGATAGAATAGAATAGAATAGAATAGAATAGAATAGAATAGAATAGAATAGAATAGAATAGAATAGAATAGAATAGAATAGAAGCTGGAAGGGACTTGGAGGTCTTCTAGTCCAGTCCCCTTCTCAAGCAGGAGAACCTATACCATTTCAGTCAAGTGACTGTCTAGCCATTTCTTAAAAACTTCCAGTGATGGAGTGGCCAAGATTTCTGATGGCAAGCTGTTCCACTGGTTAATTGTCCTCACTGTCAGGAAGTTTCTCCTTAATTCCAGGCTTTTTCTATCTTTGGTCAGT